TCTCCCTATTTATTTATTTATATTTATTTATTTATTTATTTATTAGACTTATATACCGCTTCATAGGGCTTTCAGCCCTCTCTAAGCGGTTTACAGAGTCAGCATATTGCCCCCAACAACAATCCGGGTCCTCAGGCTTCCAGGCCTGACAACATCTTCTTCTTCTTGGAAAACATTCTAGCTTCAAGTTTCTTCATCACTCTGATCCGCTTTTTCTACATTTGTTCTACTTGGTACCCAGAACTGGATGTAGTTCTCAAAATCAGTTCTTTCCAATTCCAAACAGAGTCGAAATATTAGCTCTTGGCCTGCCCTGTGGAAACAATATTTATATTAATTGCATTTATCTTTTTAGAATCTGATCGTGTGGCTGATTTACACTCACCTTGTGATCAACTCCCATTCCAAAATACATTTTATACGTACAAGTTATCAAATCAGCTCTTCTCATCCCGGGTCTGTATATTTCTTTCATGTCTCCTAAGTAGAAAAATATTACAGTATGTTTGCCTCTTTTAAATTCCATTACTTTCAGCCTACTTTCCCTTATCAAGATCATTTTCAATTGTGTTCCAGGCTTTTAAATCAGCTGCCCAATCTTGTGTCATCTGCAGATGAGATAAACATTTCCTTCACCTCCCCACCAAATCATTAATAAAATTATTGAAGGCTAGAAGGCTGTGAGATAAGTGAGAACTTAACTTATGGGCTTAAGCTACTTGGATATAGATTGCTTATGAAGGACAGGTTCCTTCATTATGGTAAGATGATGAAGCCAGTTTACTAGTAGGTACATAACGTTTCTTGTTCATGGGATATTTTCAACAATTTATTTGTTCAATTTCTAGAGCTGCTCATCACAGTCAAGGACTCTGGGGTGGATTACAATTCAAATAGAATACAGAAAGAACAGAATATTTGTATGAGGATGTTCATTCACTGATGATGTTACCTGGTTGGGTGATGAAATGTCTGCAAGAAAACAACCAAGATCAGAGAGCACCAAGCAGAGGTGGGTTCCTACCAGTTCGCACCTATTCGGTAGAACCGGTTCGTCAAATCTACCGAACCGGTTAGANCAAAGTCACCCAGCTGGCTTTCATGGCTAAAGTGGGACTAGAATTCCCAATCTCCTGATGATTGGCTCAAAGTCACTCAGCTGGCTTTCATGGCAGCACTAGAACTCCCGGTCTCCTAGTGATAAATACATTAGGTCACCCAGCCGGCTTTCATGGCTAAGTCAAGACTAGAATCCCCAATCTCCTGGTGTTTGGCCCAAAGTCACCCAGCCAACTTTCATGCCTAAGGTGAAACTCCTGGTGATTGGCCCAGTTTTCATGCCTAAGATGGGACTTCAGTCTCCTGGATTCTCGGCTGGTATGCAAATCACTACATCAAACTGACTCAAATCTAGCCTTGTTTTATTTGAGACTCTCTGTTTTGGTTCGCAGGTGCACTGGATTCATCTTCCAGAAGGTTGGCAAATTAGCAGCGACCGCAGTGGGAGGAGGCTTCTTTCTGCTCCAGGTTGGTTTCTGTCCACCATGGACTTGGGAGTAGTTATCAATACAAGAAGGAATCTCTCTTCAGCAAGAGCTTCACCCTCATGTTTTAATTCATGGTAGCAGTGATAACCCCATAACCCCTTGCAGGATGGAGCCTAGTGTTTACTGGCTGAATGCCCTTCCTGTCACCAGTGCAGAGTTTTGTTCAGCAGATACATTCCCCTTGGGCCCAGAGAGAGAAATATCTGCCTCTACCTAGGATCGAACTCACTGCCTCCTGATTGTGAGGCGAGAGCTCCACCTCTAGGCCACTGCACCACTCGGTAGCAGGGATAGTAATGGTGGTAGTTTAATGGAGCCCTTAAGTCTCTTGCTTTTTGACTTGGCCATGTAGAACCTTCAGATCTGACATACTCAGCTTTTAATATAGAACCTTTTTAGACTATGGACCTATTCAGGGACAGCCTTCTACTATTTTATCTCGTGGGATGCCCTGTTGGGCATGTTGGCTTCTAGAGATCAGGATCAGGGAACATGTGACTCTCCTGTAGTTCAATAACATCAGGACAGTTGCTTAGAGGTCTGGATCTTTCATACCCTACTGGTTTTGCAGTTTGATAAGATATTGTTGTGGCCCACCAGTGGCCAGCAAAGCTGGCAGCAGATTCGGACAGTGAGGAGGTTGGGGAGGAACATGGGCCAGTCCTGGAGTCTGGGGAAGGCTCTGATGAGGGCTCTG